ATAATAGATGCCTGCTGTCTGAAAGCCTCAGAATTGAAAGCAGGAGTATCTTAATGTCTTATTGACACCACTCTATTCTGCAAGACTGGAGAAGCGCTCCTCTAACTTGCATTTTATTGGACTAAATCAAATTCTAAAGGTTACAGTTAAGAGAGCAGGATCCTGCTGTCACTGACCACTTACACACATACACATATAACCCCACATATAAATCCCTTTCAGCCTGAACACCCTGGTAATTCATACTGTCAATTCAGGAAGTCCTGTTCAAACTTCATGAGCGTTTAGAGTTTGTGATATCTGCTGCATTACTCTTGGTAATGGCTGTGATCAGACTTAGCACCATGTGGGAATCATGAGCTGCTCCAGAGTTCAACTATCATTCAGTAGGAGTGGGATAAAAATATGTTAATCGTAAAGATGGGTTTTTTTAAAGGTTTGCAGTACAGGAATTATCCCAGTGGTATAATGAGATATTTTAAGGAAAATGTGGCCATATATTGCAAACCCGTGGCAATACTCAGCACAGGAAATGCTGATGAGTTACTATTAGTTGKGACTAGGAGTTTTCAGTTAGAGAAACAAAAAAATGCATATAACTATATGTCTCCAGAAAAAGATTGCTTATATTTCCACAAGCAATAAAGGAAAGCATATCATGAACTTCAATAAAAAGTCCAATTTTTGTCCCAAATCATTCTAGTTTAGCCCACAAGCAATTTTGTTTTGATTGCCTTTATGACCATAGGGCTGGCTGAGCTTCAGCTGCATGTATACACTGCTGTTCRCTTCCATCAAGTGTTTGCCTTGCAAAGCTTCCAWAATCACAGAATCTAAGGATGGGTWGGSTTGGGAGGGACCTTGAAAAGTATCCAATTCCAAACCTCTTTCTGCACATTCATAGGTGCATCCAAAAAACTGATTTCCATACCCACAAAATCAGATTTTCTGAACMAATCAACCCCTGGGCTAAGAGCGGCAAAGCATTGCAAGCTGGGGCCTGGGCRGCTGAAGGAAAGGTTAACTTGGAATTGTGCAGAGAGCAGCACTTGGCCCAGCCTGGGGAGTCATTTCAGGAATTGGGCATTGAGCTTAAGATGAGCCAAGGGCTCTCCACACTGTGCAATGTGAGGGGAGCCTGGGTTTGAAACCATTGCAAGTTTTAAGGAATACAGTGAAAGGAAGGTAACAGTTTATCCAATTTCCTTGCTCTCAGGCCTGGGATGCAGCTGAGGACCATTAGAGCAGGTTGTGGGGCTGSASTCTTAAGGTGGAGGAGGGTCTATGTGCTGGAAATTGGGTGGAGTGTCAGAGTCCTATCTCCCATTATGAGATAAGCTGAAGAATGCACCTATCACAGCAACAAATCCATTTCTCCTATTGAGATGTTAAAGCAATGCCCCTCATGAAGGTAAGCCACCCAGAAAAGTGCTAGATAGAAATTCAGAATCAATTCCCCATCTATGTCAACATTTAAATTAGAAAAATTGAGCTATTAAAAGAATCGGGTRCTGGAAGAAAATGAAAATCATGCACGTCAATCCCAAACATTCATTACAACTACTGTCAGGRATAATTACAATGGAATCAGAGTTTCTTCTGAAATTAACAGTTGCTATAGAAAAATAATAATATTTTACCTAAACAGTGCTGCCACTGGAATTGCATGGCAACAGCACACCAGCACAGAAGCCATGCCACTATTTSATGAGGGAAACACATTGGCAGGAGAAGTCATGGATGGCCATTTAAACTCAGTCCTGAGAGGAATCTTTAAACCTGTTTCCTTCCCTCTGGCTACAGGAGGGGTCACAACTGCTCTCCCCAAGTGGAGGCAAAGGCCGCAAAAGAATTCTCCATCCTCTGCTTCAAGGAAGGGTTTTACTGAGACAGGGAAAATACAGGAGTAGAAGCCAGGGATGGGTGGGCTTCCTTCATGAGGAAGGAAGCAAAAGGAAAGGGATTCCCTCTTCCATGGAAGCTGGTGAAATAAGAACTGTCCTTATCTTATTTATCCTGGCCAAGGGAGACCAGGCTGAGTTACCCACAGCTACAGACTGTTATTAATGGCTGCGTTTTCATTTCCCATATGTAAATATCATTACCAGACACRAACAGACAGAATAATGTGGGCGGGCTCTTCTGTGAGTAGAGCTCTGCACGAAACCTCCCCTCCTGAAGGACTATCCACAGCTACTTATTCCAGCCAGCACTCTGCTAGGCTCCACTGAAAGGATTGCATTTAGCTTTTAGTGTATAAATAAATGTTCTGATAAATAATTAATAGAAGCTGCTGGCCGTAAAAGAGGCGGCTGTTTGGAAAGTTAAAACAGTCTGTCATGAAATATGCACCCACCTCTGTGTTCTGCTTTCAGGGGATGTTTTAGCCAACATCTTGTCCTGTTTGTGGGACCATATTGTGCAAGGAGGAGGCCAGAGCTCAAGTTCTGGACCATCAGGGTGTTCTTCAATTTATTGYCTCTCACTGGGATCACCCCCTAAACCACCAGAGTGGAAGGCAGGTGGGCAGGAGGATGCACAGGGAAATTTTTTTAAATGAGAGGGAAATACAGTGTTCTGGGCTTCTGGGTAAGATACAGAAATCAGAGTTATTGATCACATTCAATTTTAAAGCCCTCCCAGCATCTTAGTTTTTTATATTTGAACAATAAAAAGCAGGGCCACCTGCCTTGATATTGTGCCAGACTACCTGCACACTACCCACCTAAATAGCTGGTATAGTTATAGAGCATTTTTACTCATTACTGCTCTGTAGACTGAATTGGGTTGCAATTTTAAATGGCTTCACTGTTCCACTCACAGTCACACTTAAGGGTGTGATTGTGTATCAAAATTCTGATGAACAAATCTCCTGCACAAGAGCATGGTACTATTACTTGTGCCTGAAAAAAAAAAATCACAATTAAAAAGAATTCTGTGATATGCAATGTCCACATGGCAAGAGAAGTGAGCCACGCATGCCTCAAAACACCTGACAGGCTCCTRTGAGACTAACTCTCCATCAGCCTTGGAGCAAGCTCCATGTGCCTGCATCAATCACAGGCAATCATTCTGCATACTCACATTTCTAACTGAAGAACCTCCTAAAAGGCTTTCTCAACACCAAACAAATATTTGTGCTCAGGCAGAAATTAAGTATCTGTGACTATGCTGTCTAAAACTGAGCTTTGTGGATTACATGGCAGACAGCATTTTGTAAGCCCCCTCCGTAACTCAGAATTTCCTCTTCCATGAAACACCCAGGAGATTCTTATTGAGAAACACAGGATAGATGTGCACCCAGTCCCCAGGAGAGGACAGGAATGTAAAGACAACTCCAGCCTGATTCAGGGGCACTATGTTCAGAGAGACTGACAACCATTTGGACTTCTTTTATTCCACCTTTCCTCCTCCAACAGTAAGTTAATGCCTCAATAGTTCAATAAACAGAGA